CCAAATCTCTTTGAAATAAATGGAGTTCAACTACCCTGGAAATGAGGTGCAGCAGCTCTGGTCACCCTTATCCAGCTGTGTGAAAATCCCCATTTAACCTCAACAGGGCACCCAGTGACTCTTTTTCTGCCAGAGAGCAATGCATCCCTTGCATTTACTTTTTTCCCAGGGTAATGCCAATCCACCCAACCCCCTGAAAAGAAGCCCAGCTTGCAAATCTCTTCTGAGTCTGTCTGAACAGCTGTTTTTAACTTGGGAGCAGAAAGACGGGGGCGGATCGGTCGCCCGTCATCGCATGTTTGCCATCTGCACAATGCTATCTTCTGTAAACACAGCAGCTAATGAGCATGCTGCAATCGGCAGCCCAGTTTCTGCCGCTAGAAATCACAGCAGGATTAATCGGGAAAAGAAAGCCCTCTGCACACAGGGTTTATGTGTGCTTCGTGCCGTGTTCGGACACCAGGGTCGAGTCTCCTTCCAGCCCCGTGTTCCCCCCACCCAGTAACTGCTCAAGTCAGTCAAGCTGCACCACTATAAGGGCAGGCAGTGCCAAGCTGAGCACTGCAGGTTGTCAGAGCAGCAATGTGGCATAGGGGAATATTTGCCATTCCCTTTCCCAGGGTGAAGCTCTCATGGCTCATGAGTTTCACGCGCCGGTGCTGTCCACACTGGTTTAGTTTTGCTCCCTGCTCTGTTACAGAGGGTTTTGCCTGCCTATGGCATTGGGAGCTGCTTTTTCTCCATGACTTTGACTTTCCTGGGCTGAGGCGATGGCAGGGGAGGAGTGTAGGGTTACAGCCCAGACAGTCCTCCCTGTTTCCCACACAGCTTAGGACAGCGCCCCGGCTGCTGCCAGCTGCCTCTCACCACCAATATTCATCACTCCATTCCCATTCTTGTTCTCCCTCTTCAATTTATCTCTCTGTCTCTGGAAACAAGTGAGTATTTGCCTTTTTCTGCCCCATGGCTCAAGTCTCCAGGCTCCCCTCTCTGGGCAATGGCTGTATCCATGGAAGGGAGGGACGGGGCTGGGGGACGGGCAGAGACTTGACTTGCTCGAGCTGCCTTTGCAGATGAGCTCAGGCAAGAAACATTTCCAAGGCTCTGGTTTGTTACGTAGCGGCTCCTCTCCAGATGAGGTCCAACCCCGTCTCACTTCCCTTTCCTGCCTGTTGTTTACTGTCAGGACTTTTAGCAAAGCAGAGCTGACGGCAGCAAGCACAGTCGACCTCACCAAAGGTCCTGCATGGGGGCTTTCACCTGCGCCCACCTGAGCGAGCCACTGCTGCTTGGTATGAGTCCCAGGAGATCATGTTTTGGAGAGAGGAAAAGCTGAGAAAGGGAGGGAGGTGATGGGTGCTTTTGGGAAGGGTCTGGAGGAGGTGGGTAAAAGCTGCTCGAGCAGGTCATGAGCAGAGTCTGGGTCTCCTGACAGCCCTCTGCTTCGTGGTAAGGCGTCTCCCAAGGTTTGCTGGTAGGGGAGCAGAGGTATGCTGGCACCTGGGGCACCCTTAGACTTTGCAGGGAGCGAAGAAGCCCTTGAAGAGTTCAGGAAGGTGAGGAGGGCCCCAGGGTGGCAGTGGGGAAGGGTGGAGGAGAAGGAAATGAGGAGAAATTTCCCTGCCAAAGGCTGAGGGTTGCAGAGAAGAGGACCATGCAACAGCCTGGCCCAGCAGCCATGAGCTGGGACAGCAAACAAACCATCTGCCAGCCTGGAAAGTGAAAGCCCATCATGCTTTCTGAGACCCAGCTCTACCAGCAATTTGGTGGGGCTGGTTTTCACACAGTGGAGTGGGAATGGTGCAGGTGACCACCTTCAGCTCTAAGCTCTGCTGGGTGGTACTAGCTGCTACCTCTGCAATGGCTGATGCTTTCACCACCCAGTGGGCAAAATCTCAGTTCTAGTGAAGGAATATCAACGCTTCTCTTGTGGGTGATGAAGACAGCTTTTGCCAGCAGCTCCATCGCATCAGCTGATGTTGCATTACATTGCAGCATGGAAGTCAAAATACTTTTACTGCTTTACACCAGCTGAGGACCTGTCCTAGGCAAATGCAAGTAAGAACTGAAGAGAAGAAAAAAATCTTCAGAGCTGGATTCCCAGGTTGCCTAATGCTGTGGTTTTACTGTACCAAC